ATCATGAAATTAAACCTTATTTTCAATAAGCAATCCTGAAAAATATTTGGGGGTGCTTAACTTTTTTCCAGGTGTATATTTAATGAGTTGAGACATTCTTGATGGCAGCTGCAGGTAGTCACATTCTTAGTCTACATTTCCTGTTAGCTAGCTGAGTTAACAAGCACCAATCATGTTCTTTCGATAATATTATTAACAACTCCAAATACTAATGATGAATGTTTAACCACAGGTAGAACACATATTTTACCAAAAACTGGACAAACTGCTAATTCCAAAACTATGGGTTAATAAGATGCTTACTAACGTACAAGATATGGTAATATCTATTATAACGAAATACAGGTATAAACCTCTCATTTAAAATAATGTTTTGACAGAATAACAAAATAGCTGTAGGAGGGGGAACGTTTGGGTGAAAGAAAGGAAAAACAGCATATGGCCTGTATAAGCTACATTAAAATATTTGATACTGTAATCTACAATTGGATCAATCAAATTTTAAATCATGTTCTTTTGTATGATAAAAGGTTGAGGCCAATTGATGTATTTAAATATGAAGTTGATGTCTGTGGCTCGAGAAATCAGAATTTATATCTCCAGAATCAGGGTAGCAGCAGAAATTGTGTAGTTTCCTTTTAATTGGTTCCATCCATAAGTATATTCAGCAGAGACTTCTGGTGTCTGCTGTCTTTTAACAACCTTTATTTTCATTTAAAATCTATGTGACTTTTGAGTGAACACTGCCTTTGTGTTGCATTCATCTTAAGCAAGTGTAGTGTTATGTTTGCTCCATGCATAGAGTTTAAGTGTTTGAAACTTTGTCATGGAATTAAAGCTAGGACCTTGGATTTCACTGAGTATATGTATGGTATAATTTTACAGCAATACTTGAGTTTAAGCCTTTGTCATGGAATCAAAGTTAAGATATTAGATTTCACCGAGGATATGTATGGTATAATTTTACAGCAATACTTGAGTTTAAGCCTTTGTCATGGAATCAAAGCTAGGACCTTGGATTTCACCGAGGATATGTATGGTATAATTTAACAGCAATACTTGAGTTTAAGCCTTTGTCATGGAATCAAAGCTAGGACCTTGGATTTCACTGAGGATATGTATGGTATAATTTAACAGCAATACTTGAGTTTAAGCCTTTGTCATGGAATCAAAGCTAGGACCTTGGATTTCATTTAGGATATGTATGGTATAAGTTAACAGTAATATTTAATATAATTTGGAGTTCATATCATGTAGTTTTTTTTTTTACTTAGATTAATTTAAAAATGAGAACTACACAAACTGACAAGAGTTCATTGTTTATTTGTCTCTACTAGTTCTTGTCACTTTAAAGATATATATATATATCACTTGCCAAATTATTGTGTATTATACTGTAACTCATGACTGTGATGAAATATTTGTTGCTTGTGGGAAATGTGTGTGTGTGTGTCTTCTCTCTTTTTCTCACAACATTTCTGTTGAAACCTGTAGGAGAATACACCACAAAGCCTGAGCCCTGACAGTCTCCACAAATTTATCTGCTCTGATAGTAATTCATGAGACATTACAATAATAACAAAACTTTGTAGAAACAATTCAGTTGTGAACATTTTCTTCTGTATAATATTTTCAACATATTAATTTGTTTTCTGAAACAGAAAAACAACCTCATGATATATATTAAATTCTAAATTTTGAAAATAAAGGGTTGAACAAAATATTTGAAAAGGTTTAGAATTTAATATACTGGGTGTTTCAAAGGCCAACCCTGCTGTTCAGACCAGTTTGAACATTCATGCAGAAGACAGTGACTTCATTGCAGCCACTTATTCAAACTATTTAAATATGATTTTGAACAATGGTTTATATATTCCTAGCTACCATGTAGTGTGACAATAATGTTATCATAACACACCACATGATTGTGTTTGTTGTCTTCGGCATGGCAGAAGTGGTTTACACACCAAGTTTCACATTATGTTTGTTGATTTCCCGAAGACTGTCATCTGGACAGCAGAAGTGACTTTTGAAAAACCCATTATTGGAACAAAATATAAATCTCCAAAATTATGTTAGAAAGAAAAATTGTTTTGATACCTAATTTACCTAAAGTGGTAAGTAAATAGTCTTTTGGAGACAGTCTTGTTCTTGAAAAACGTGAAAGTGATGCTCAAGAAGAAAGAAATTAAATTTATAATACAGCTTGTATAGATGATGTACGAGTGCTGCTGTCTCAAGTGTAACATTGAAAAGCCAGGGATTTGCATGTAATGATATAAAGCAACGGACTGCATAACCTAGACATAATTAACCAAACTATAATGGAGTTATTAAAGCCTTGCGTACATTGAAAAGTTAAACATATGCATTACCGTAGAAATTTGTACCGTACCCTAGACATTTCCTATTGGTAAAGAGAACATTATTATGGTATATTCAGAATATAGTATTGTAGAGAGTATTAACATAACAATAATTATAAAAAGTACAAGGTGAAAGCTGAGAGAGAGACAATCGAACCTTGTACTGTACCTATGGGTTTGTTGTGTCTGATGCAAAACATATGATTGAAATAAGAGGCCTATAGTCAATGCAAAATTAGTGCAGACTAGACAGCTGTATACCCAAAAATAATAATTATTCTGATTAAATTTGGTTTATGAAATAATTCACACAAAATTAAAAATTTTTTTTTTTTTAAAATCATCAAAAATACAATTATTATTATTATTTATATAAAATTATTTATGTGATAAACTTTACTACAATAACTTAACATGTTTTACTTTTGGATGTTGTTGTTTCAGTCACAGTTAGTACTTTCACAGCCTGATCTAAATCAATATAATTACGTTCAGGTAAAACACACAAACACGGTACTGTTAAAAAAAAAAGTAAACTATGCATCCAACTTCTGTTCAGATGATACATGTAGGTATTGAATCCAGAATAATTTGTACTGTCCTTTTAGCTATATTTTCTAAAATCTTAGAAAACAATCATATGGGAATATTTCAATGCATCAGGGTTTCACTCAGATTATACCTGACTAATGTAAACAATCTTGCATCAAACACCTTGTTGACACATTAAAATGTAACTAATAGGACTGAATTTGGTCTTGTGTGAAAGTCTGATTAATTTTACAGTAGTTTGATGTTAAGGTTGACAAAAATAATTTAAAAAAGCATGTTAACTTGATTACTCATAATATAAAAACTAACATAAATTTCAAGGATGACAACAACAAAGAAGTGGCATTAGCCCACTTGGCCTATCGTTTACCTCCGTACAACAAAGATCAAACACCAGTTCATGTGACTGTAACTTTGAACACTATTAACTTAAGTGAGTAACAGAATATAACAGTGATTTAATTACTGAGAAAAAAATTGTCATAAGTTTTTATTTTTCTTTTATAAATACTGAACACTGAATGTGCTCATAAACCTAAAAACTGACAAAATAAAAGGTAAAATGATAAAAAATATAATTTTTAAAGCTCCATAAATAGCACATTATATGCATTCATGTGTGTTTTAAATATTAATTTGAAGTTAATAAACAGGATAGGAATATTTGTTCATACATTCACATAATGAGTAGAATCTTGGAGCTACTGGCTGGAATCTTTTTTTTCTGATAACTTGCATTGTGTACAATACTTTTTCTCAAACAAGATTCAATTTTTTTAATATAAAAACAGGAAAATAAAATTCATTGATAGCTTGGAAGATAGTATATAGAAAATGGTACCCGTGAATTTCCGCTGTGTTAAATTTTGGTTGATAAGCAACTCCCAAAGTATCGCTGGAGTCTCGTGTCTGAAATTAAGATTGAAAACGCATTCAAATACCACAGTCACGGTTGAACTCAAGAAAGACATTCTTACAGTTTTAAAAAATATATTTATTAGTTTAATTTTGCTAGTTAGCACTTTTTGTAACTGCAAGAAAAACAGTAGAGATGGTAAACATTACAGTTGGGGTGGGAGAAGTGGAATCTCAAAGTACATAACAGTTAGTGTATAGAATCCCCCAAAAAAACTATTCCTGCCCTGTAATAAAGTGAATAAGTAACATACATATTTAGAGTATAGTGGTAACCATGCAGCAAAAACTCGTAGATAGGTACACAGCATTAAACCTATAATAGTAGTCATTCAGAAGTAGGCTAGAATAAAATTAAGTCTCCTGCATATTCTACCAAAGAAATCATCATGCATGTTTGTTTCAAAAGGGCTAAATAATGCAATCTAATGTTAAGGTTCTTTGGAAAGAAAAAATTAAGATTAATGTTGTGGGACACACAGTATTATGGCTTGGATGTTAAAGTGGTTGTTAGTTAATGAGTTTAGTTACTGACTGTTGAACACTAGTTTTCTCATGTTTGTTAGACACATTTTTCTGGTATATGTAATTTATCAATTACTGAATATTCCAAATCATAAGAACAACTTCACATGAGCAGTGTTATTCCTTGAATTTATTTCATAATCCATTAAAAAATTTATAACAGCATATAAAATATTAGTCGAATATTATTTCATGCAGATTGAGGTCTATAATTAAAATAAAACTTAAGATTCCAGTCCGCAAAGCAGAAAAATATAACAACACCAAAAAAGTATCTGAGTAATAACCAAGTAAGAATTTGTTCATAGTTTGATATTTACAGTTTTTACAAATTTATTTATTTTTAGAGTTTGAACTTTCATTCCACAAGCTCCCTGTCAGTTTGTTAATTTGTAAAAATATTCTGTTCAAAACTTTCATAAAAAATGAAATGAGAAAGAAGTACCATGTTTCTATTCTTATATTTCTAACTAAATCTGAGCAATCGCCTACGTCGTAACCTCTCCAAATTTGGATACAAGCCTGATGAAGGGGTAGAAAAAGATGAATCACTGGTTTCCTGATATGCATCATGGGATGGTTGGCTCTGTGAATTTCTGTTACTGGGAATGTTATGATCAAACAGACTCGCTCTTACTGCTTCATCCATTTGTTCCTCTTCACTCATACCAGGTGGAATAAATTGTTCATAACGTTGTGAATAAGCTCCCGGACGAGTGTACTCCCTTGTTTGGCTCCTATCGGGTCTGGACCTAAATGTTGGAAAACCTGCAAATATAGATGAAAAAGCATCCATCATGGTTTTCAATGGCCCTTTGACATACGAGAGCCCAACAAGTATGCCAGCCAAGTGACCAAGAAATGATGCTTCTGGTACAAATAACTGAATAAGCAAGAGTTCAGCCCAAACAAAATACTGTGGAGACAAAGGTAGGTGCATTCCAAGAAACGTATTTTGGGTACTTGGCCAGTAATAAGTTGTTACTACCTTTAAAGCGAAAATAACTCCAGAAAATCCTACAGCACACTGATCAAGAAAATGTGCATCCAAAAGTTCAGATGCTACACCAGATAGTGCGACCAAACATCCACCAGTCAGTGTTGTAAATACGATTATCACATACAAAAATTTCAAACTTCCAAGTCTTTTCTCAAGGTTAATGCCTTTCCAGATAAAGGAAATCATATTAAAATACAGGTGCATGTCATCAGTATGTTCCACTGTTCCATAAAATATCCGCCACCACTCTTTTCTGAACCACACATGGCGAACACTGATACACACATCATACGGTGAAGTCCAAGGTAGCTTAAATAAGCGAAGATATACAGTAGACATAAAAACAGTAACACAAAGAGTTATTGGTGGTACTCGATTGATACCGACTATTCCAAATACCTCGAAGAGTAAAAGTAAAATTCCAAGGGGTGCCCCTCTACGACGTCCGACGCCCGGCATCTTTTACCTTGATATTTCATCCACGACCTAGCAATAAGAGGTGCAATTATTTTGTTTACGATTGTCTACTAGCGACACAGTACGAGTAGTTTATCAATCAAATAATGGAATTAAAATATCTTCGTTTAATTAATCACTTCCAAATGCATATAAAAATGAAGGAATTATTACGTAGCCTTTCTTTGTGTTTCAAAATATGTCTCAACGTTATATTACTGCTATCTGATGAAAAACATTCTTTCCCGTCAATGGAAGCGTCACAGAATTCATAGAGGTATGAAGGTCGACAAGTAAGGGTAAAAACCAAAGACAAGTTTCATTCGTGACCAAATAGACTCGCTGAGACCCTTTTCAGAGAGCAAGAAATCTCCATTGTGATCTACAAGACTAATTTGGATTTTTGTATTGATTCCAACTGTTCGTAATAGACATAAAAAAGCTAATTTTCGGTCATAAAAAGCCTGTATTAGATTCCCATTCACTTAACGTTGCAAAGAAAATCGCCGAGATTGAGTTGAAATAACATTTCTTGGACAATGTTTTAAAGATTGAATGATAGTACTTTTCATGGATGAGCCCAGGTTTTGTTTTTTAGTTCACTAATCGTCGTGCCAGAGTATAAAGAAGAACTCAGGAGTGCTGTTTCAATGCCGGAATAGTTAACCACGACTGCTATGGTTGTAGTTAATGGGTCAATCATATTTATCAACTTCAATGATAAGGCTGAAATGTGTGTGTTCCGCAATGGCTCTTTGATATCAATAGGTACAAAGAGGAGATTTTGGATGTTTACATGGAGTAATATACTGTCACCATTGCGGTGAATTCAACCTTGTGATTTGCAACGCCTGTCCTTACAATACTCGAATCGTGGAGGAATCCATTAAGAAGATTATTGTTCCCGTGGATTTAAGCCCATTTTACCTTTAAATATTAACCTTATCGAGCTTGTGGGATACTCTTGGACATGCTGTTTCGGCCCTTTCAGTTTATGACTCTCCATAAGCTGGGAAATGCCCTCGTTGAATAATGGAACAAGTGCCACAGATAAATATTCACAAGCCTATTAGAAGTATGCAAAGACGATATTAGGTAGTAATCAATGCTTTTTGGGCAGCAAACGCGCTTTTAGTAAGGTTTGTTTCGCTTTTGTTATTTTTGATCAATAAAATAATTTATATACTTAAAATATTCAGTTTGAGGAAGAATGTCATCTTTTATGTTCAGTTGTATAAATACATATTGTTACGTCTCCGTTTGTTAATTGATTTTTTCGTAACTTCGTTCCAACGAAACTTTAACGACACAAGTCTTTACTTAATAAAACTGGTTTATTCTTTCCGAATATAACTCTGCGATACACTTAATCTCAATACTCGCGCTAAAACAACACTGTAACGAACGAACGTTAACTTCAACAATACCCTGTGACTGCAGTTCAATTACTCACTATCTATCTGACTGCACACACATTACCTTACGCATCACGTTTTCCGCTCTTATATATACCAGCCTACCCTACTAGTAATTACTAG